GCCCCATCCAGCATACAGCAGTGCAGATCAGCTATGGCTGCCTGCTCCTTCCAGCTCGCCCGTGATCGCGTGAGCCTGGCAGGCGATAGCGCAGCAGCGCTTGTGCACAAAGCAGCCAGTGCCCAAATGTCCAATGCGGAGGCAGGCCCTTCCCTATATCGAAGTGGCCTGCTGCTGCGTGCAGTCATGAGGTACCAGGCCCTGGCCCAGAAGCTTGCGGTAGGCCCCAAGAGGCTGACCCTCCATCCAAGTAAAACAGGCCCAGGGCCTGTGGTGGTTACTAGTGCCCAACTGCCCCAGCCTGAGTTGGGTCCATGCTGCGAATCTCGCCCAGGGCCTGACTCAGATACATTTGATAAAGAAGTCCAGGGCCTGGGCACATCCAACCAACTGGCGCTGCGCAACTGCCTGAATTTTCCCCAGTTGCGAAGTGGTCCAAAATAGGCCTCTTGGGGTCGGTCGAGCCTGCCTTCACTTAGGGCGGCCGAGTAGGGCTTATCGAGGCCTTGTGCGTCGCACAATTCCAAAAAAGTCCGAAAAAAAAAATGTTATGCAGAAAAATAAACTGAAAAACTTTTGCCTCAGGGTCACATCGAAATTCTTCACCAAATTTAGAATAAAAACTAAATAAAAAAACAATGTTATACTGAAAAATAAACTGAACAACTTTTGCCTCAGGGTCACATCGAAATTCTTCACCAAAAGGCATTCTGGAGGTCTTGGGTTCAATCCCCATTGGGTTCACAGAGTCCAGCGGCCTAGCTCAGTTCAGGAGGTCTTGCGTTCAATCCCCATTGGCCTCATGCACCTTCCTGGGCAAGCTTGGTGCCCGCCACCTAGAGATATGCTATTGGTCCCCCCAAGTGGCATTGAGCAGAGACTGCTGATGTTCATAGGGGCAGGGGACTGGAGGGGAGGCACAGTGACTGGCCCATCGAAGAAGCTCGGTCCTGATGCTACCGGCTGACCCCTGCCTGGTATCGCCCACCCAATGTAGCCGGTATCGCACCTGCTGGTGGGTGCAGCTCCCGCATGTTCCCTCGTTGGAGGCTTGAGCACGGATGTGGCTGCTATGGGGTTCCCCGTAATACTATAATGACAATAAAAAAGGCCTGAAAGGCCGCCCTGTCCAGATTTGACAGGTAATTGAATTGGTTGGTCTTAAAGAATTAACCTTTAAAATTAAAAATAAAAAATAAAAAATCTTCACCAAATTTAGAATAAAAAATAAAATTTACAATTTGTTTTATTTTTTTTTTTAATTTGGCCCGGCCGGCCAATTGACCCCGGGCCACTCTGGTAGCCTAGCTTATTACTGTACTATGGAATGTTTTTTGCAGTACTGCTGCAACGCACTAGAGTGCAATCAGACTCGACTCTGGACTTGCTCACAACATGCACACATGAGAACCGATGGCAAACCAAACTCGTGAACTCAGAATCAACAACGGACTTGCTTAAAACTCTGTTCAGAACAACTGTACAAGTTGCAGCTATGGCCGCTGAACACTGTCTGTACCACCAGCCTCACTCTTCTTCACCCTCACATGCACGCACGTACAAGGATCTCCCTGAATGTCCACGCTGCACAGACACACACACTCTGTATACCCTGTCTGCACCAACAGCTGGGCGGGCTATGGCCTCCGTCGTCTTCCTCCTCCTAGCTATGGCCGCCGGTGTCTCTCTCTCGCTGGTTCGCTATGGCCGCTGTCTTCTTCACAGCCCACTTCTTCTCCGGGCACCCACAGTCCTCCACACACAAGATACCAAGGGAGCTCTTCAGCATTGCACACAGGCGAATGAATGAATGGCCGGACGCTGCCTCTTTATTTATACTTCTTTGGAGGTACCCCGGCCTGCCTCAAAACGTGTGGGCCTGGGCCAAAACGTGTGGCCCAGGGAAGTTTCCAGACGTTTGGCCTTCTGGGCCAAAACGTGTGAAACCCA